GCTAGACATTCTTTTCAATTCTCCAAACCAACCTCCCCACTTATTTACAATTGTTAGAATATTTTCCAGAGTTGTTACTAAAAATCAGTTCTTGGCATTAGAAAGCAAAACCAGATCTACACACTCTTGCAGCAGTTCTTAATTTAGCCAGCAGGTGTCACTCTAGTATTGTCTCTAGTATTAAATCTATCCGTTCCAAGATGTCTACCTCCTTCTTTTCCTTCCGAGCGTTCTTCCCTGTATGTTAGAACAGTTAGCCTTCCAAAGTTAAATTTCCATCCCAGGAGTAATGGAATAAGGGAAGAAAGAAGAAGCCCCCTTTCTCTTCTCCACAAATCCAACCAACATAGCAGGTAAGCAGGCAAATCTTTTAGCCCAAACCTTCCTTTTCGCTGCTTTTTCCAGGGACGAGGGAAATCCCTCCTCCCCTCTTGTAGGCTGCTAAAATCAGTCAGATTCAGCCGAAATCCTCCAGCACGGACTCACACCGGATCCCTTCTAGCCAGGAAAACTGCTCAGATAAGTTTGACTGGAACTGTCACGTCACCATCCAGCTACTCCACCGCTATACTTTGGCCAGCTGACAGTTGTCATTCCTTCACGGCCGCCATTGTCGGCCGTTTTTCCACCTCCGCTTGGCTTGTCAAAGCTTCTCCTGGGTTCAACGGTCCTGGTTGCCACCTAGAACTGCTCCCCAGGACGCCTTGTTATTCCCAGTTCCCCTCCAGGGAACTGGGGACCCCAAAGGATCTGTCAAGCAGTCGGGAACGGGGTTAGATGCTCCGGAGAATTGTCCAACACACCCGTTCTTCTTGACAGCTGGCCCCGCCCCCCTAACAGTGTCATTTCTTGATTGATCCTCTTTAGCATTTGCTCCTTTTGTATCCCAAATTTCAATCTTAAATATGCCATGAACATCACCACATCATGGCCGATAAATATTGACTTTACTACCCATCGTGGCTTTGGACAACTGAATTGTCTATATAACATGTTTTTGTAAGATAGAGTTATAGATTTAGTCATATCTGTGTCACATGCAACATTTCCGGCTAATGGTAAGGACAGTACTGATTAGTTCTGGCACATTTGGCTAGATTGCTATTAGTACAATTAAATCTTAGTTGCATTCAAAATAAGCTCATACTATTCTGGGCAAGCTAAGATCTTAAACTGGAAACTATCTTGCAAGCTATCATATGGTTGTTTGCATCAGCTATGAGATACAGAAAGTGTACTGATACATATTCAGGATGCAAATCTGAAATCACATTATAAAGTTATATACGTATTTGTGTATAAGTATATATAGTATATACCAGTGATGGCGAACCTTTTAGAGACTGAGTGCCCAAAAACTGGCCCCGCCCCCACTCCACCCCCCTGCACCGCCCCTGCTCTGCCCCCCATCCCCCGCCCCGCCTGCCCACAGGACCACTCACCACCTCCAGGGCCCGCCGCACATCGCCCAGGCAGCCCAGCAGTGCTATGGCGGTCACACCCTCTGCCTGCACCCTGCAGCAACAACTGCATGATGGGGTGTGAGGGCAGAGTCTTGTCTATGCTGCCTGGCTGCCATGTCCTTGGCTGCGCTGCTCCATGTGGACCACGCTCGAGGGCGACTCTCCTTCAGGGGGGCTGCTGGAGAGGAAGGAGTCATGGGGGGAAGCAAGGCTGGGGCAACGGCACATGTGCCCACAGAGAGGATTCCGAGTGCCGCCTCTGGGTCTGAATTTGGAAAATGAATATGTAAAGCACTGCATAATTCAGTGGGCAAGGAACTTTGGATATAAAGTAATGCTTGAACAATGAGAGAATATGTGGATGGAAGGTTTAAAATTTACACAAAATTATAATTTAAAAGAAAACTTCTGTAAAATGTTGAATTGTTGGTATTTAACACCAGATAAGTTGTCAGGAATGTATAAAGGTATTTTAAATTAATGTTGGAAATGCAAAAGTAAAGAAAGGACCTTTTATCACTTATGGTGGACATGTGACAAAGCAAAGACGTATTTGAATAAGATTCACATCCTAATGCAGAAATTTCTCAAAGTGAATATAAAGATAAAACCAGAAACTTTTCTTTTGGGTTTAATGGAAAAAGACTTGGAAAATTTTTTTGGAACTTTGATGCTATATATGTTGACGGCAGAGAGATTATTTTATACACAAAAATGGAAGGATACTTTGATTCCCAAAATGGAGAAAATGGCTGCAAATGTTGATGGAGTTAGCAGAGATGGCTAAACTGACTGCTTTGATTAAAGAAAAAAAACATGATTACTTTTATTTCTACTTGGAAACCACTTCTGGACTTTGTGCTTGAAGTGGAAAAAAATGAAACTTTGATTTTGAGTTTTACCGATTAGATAGGTTTGTTTTATAGAAATGGCTAGATTATACTATTACTTAAAAGTAAAAACTTGAGGTTTGATGTTATTATCTTACTCTACTGCACCAAAGCGAATCGGAAGTCAATACCTTTTCTTTCTTTTTCCCCTTTTTCCTACACTTTTCCCTTCCCTTTTCCCTCCCCTATCTTTACTACTATTTTCTTTTGCATTTTTGTATTTTACATTATAAATTAATAAAAAACACTTAAGCACAGTCGTGTGATTGTCTGCTTTACAACTGCATCAGTTAGCAATAGAATTGCCAGTCCCAAATGTGATTGGTAAGTAAGGACTACCTCTTTTTATAGACTAACTCACTTGACTTCCTTAAAAAATCCTGGAATTGCAATTTTAAGCGAGGTGACTTAATAGTTAATATAGTTAACTATTAATAGTTAATATTAAGCCACCTCACTGCTACAAAATCATAGCTAATTGTGAGCCCTATAATTTGTCCATTTTGTTTTATTTCCAGTTAAAAAACCAAAAACATGTTCTCATTGTCCTTCACTTCCAAGCCAAAGCGTTGTCTGCCCGGATAGCTGGATTGGATACAGAGGAAAATGTTTCTATGTATCAAAAGAAGAAAAGAATTGGTCTCTCAGTTTAACGACGTGTTCTTCATTTAATGCTTCCTTGGCTGTTATTGATACTCAGAAGGAATTGGTAAGGAGTAATTAGCCATCGTGATTAATTGCTTATTACTTAAGTATTCATGGTATTCTCAGGAATCTTCTCCAACTTCAACATTCAAATGCTTTAATACCTCTCTATCCTGGTTCTTCAAAGTCCAATTTTCACAGAGTGTAACAGGGACAATCATTGCCTACATAAAAACATTACATCCCACATAAACATATTTAAAAGGCTCTGACAGATGAGCACAATTCAAAGCACACTGAAAATGTCCCCGAGTGGAAATGAAACATTTGCAGCCAAATTGCAAAGCTCAGAGATCAAGCCAACAGCCCAACTACTATAATAATAATAAAGTTGGAAGGAACCTTGGAGGTCATCTAGATTCTAATCCAACCCGTGCTCAGGCAGAAAACCCTATATCATTTCAGACAAATGGCTGTCCAATCTCTTCTTAAAAACTTCCAGTGTTGGAGCATTCACAACTTCTGGAGGCAGGTTGTTCCACACTGGTTAATTGTTCTAACTGTCAGGAAGTTTCTCCTTTGTTCTAGGTTGCTTCTCTCTTTGGTTAATTTCCATCCGTTACTTCTTGTCCTGCTTTCAGGTGCTTTGGAGAATAGCTTGACTATCTCTTCTTTGTGGCAGTCCCTGAGGTATTGGAACACTGCTATCATGTCCCCCCTTGTCCTTCTCTTCGTTAAACTAGACATACCTAATTCCAGCATCCGTTCCTTATATGTTTTAGCCTCCAGTCCCCTAATCATCTTTGTTGCTCTTCTCTGTACTCTTTCTAGAGTCTCAGCATCTTTTTTACATCGTGGTGACCAAAACTGGATGCAGTATTCCAAGTGTGACCTTACCAAGGCATTGTAAAGTGGTATTAATACTTCACGTGATCTTGATTCTATCCCTCTGTTAATGAAGCCTAACACTGTGTTGGCTTTTTTGGCAACTGCAGCACACTGCTGGCTCATATTTAAGTGATTGTCCACTAGGACACCAAGATCGCTTTCACATTTACTACTATTGAACAAGGAACCACTTATACTATACCTATACATTTGGTTTTTCTTGTCTGAATGTAGAACCTTACTTTTTTCACCATTGAATTTCATTTTGTTAGATAGCTCCTGTAAGATGCTAAGAAAAAGATGCAGGCATGTCTTGAGCAGAGGTTTGAAGCTGCAGGACACAGCTTGACAAGCTCTGAGTTTATTGCTTCTTATATACTTGTTACATACACCAGCTTAACCATTAAATGCTGACATTTTACATTCATAAGTTTAACCATTAGATGCTGACATAAAGTTTCTTCATTGGAAAATTCCTAATAACACATTACATGATCAAAGACCAGGTAAAGAACAAATACAGGTAGATCAAAAGGAGAAAGAGCTAACAAAGACAGGAAGAGATAAGAAGGAACTTAAGCATATTATCTGTTTAGGTAAGTGAGGCATTAAGTCAAAAGGGGATGACCTTCTGGCTGCTTCATTGGGACAAAGGGTATCAAAAGGTTATGAGGTTTGTGGGGGGGAAAGCACAGCAGTTTGCTGCGCATTTTTCCCCACATCTCACTCTTCGCTATTTTATTAGTGAGGACATTATCCTACGCTGAAGTAGTTAGTGGGTCTTAGTTTAGTATGGAAAATTGCAAGACATCTTATTAAGTAAAGAGAAAAGACATTGAATTAAACAACAACAGCTGATAGCAACTATTATAATGAAATATTGAACAATCTTTCTGAGAAGGCCAATGGGAAGCCATGACCATAGAGCACTCCACCAATTTCCTAAGGTATCAATTTTTAAATCAGAAGTCAAGTTATGTAAAACATTAATTTGCTTTTGAATAATGCCAGATTGATCAGAAAGATTGAAACAACACATTCCTTCGAGTACCTCACATCCCAAATATTGCCGGAGCAACAGATAATCAATTGCAGCACGATTTTGTAAAATAGCTTTACGAAGTTCTATTAGCTCTTGATTAGTAGCAGACAAAGCTAGGGAGGTCGCATTAATGGTCTTTGCTAAATTACATGCAAGAGCATTTAAATTTACATGAGCTAGAACAGCAAGTGCTGGTACCCCTACTGATGAAATGGCTAAGGCAGTATACTCTGCTTTATTGAGGAGGGTTCTAGAAGAATCACAAGTATCGTCCAGGGTTACTGATCTTCTGTGACATTCTGAAATGAATATGTTGAGTTCTGTTCTTGTTGGCAAAAACGTGGTGAGTCTACTAAGGCAACAGTGTTTCATACTTACATTGGCAGGAATGTAATTAAATGTCTCTTTCCCGCAGGTAAAGAACCATCCCTTTTGTAACCATATATGTGCATAATTAAAGGATACCTCTTGAAAAGATGTACAATTTAAAATTCCTTGACTGACATGTATACAATGAGTTTTTTTAGGTGAAGTAGTACAATTGTCAATTTTTGCACAAGTAAGATTTGTAGGAATAGCTACAATTGGTGTATGTAAAGCAATAGCATCAAGAGGTAACATGTAAGAAGCAGGACCCCAGTTTGACATAGTTGCATAATGAAATTCATTATCTGATAGAAAATTGCTTAAACCAGTATAATTTTTTTTAAAACTGAAGCTGGAACACACACAGGTATAAGACAGGTAGAGAGTAGATTTTCCATATCATATGATTCAGAAAGATAAAAGTCTGTCACTTGTGTGGCATTAGCTAATTGCACCCAAATATTATATTTCATCCGTGATTCTAAAGGATGAGGGGGAGAGCTTGAGCCCCCACACAGCAATGAAGAAGGAAAGAGAGGCAAAGAATGACTAAGGGATTTGCAATCAAAACCACAAATATGGCAGCGCATAAATTCTCTGGTGTAGGTTCTTTTCCCTGTTGCCACAGAACCTCCTGCATTTTGGATGTTAGGTTCTTCACATCGCCCCAGGTCGTTGGTTGACTGCAATGATGAGAGTGAAAGGGACATTGTGCTGTCTGAAGAGTCACCTGCTTCATTTCCAGTATTGGGTTCTGGATTTGATGCCATGACATCTTTGGCTGGTTGCACACACCAGGCTGGAATCCAGAGAGGGCCTGTAGGAGTAAGCACAGCAGTATAGCCTCGCCTCCAAGTTAATAAGGGAACTGGACCTAACCAGGTTTTATCAGGCAATTGCAGATAATATACCAATGGATTAGGGAGCACAGCTTTCTGCTGAAAGTGATGCTGGTAGGCAGTAGTTTTTCGAAAAGAAATATTTAGCTGATTTAAAGTTATTAGAACTTTATTGACTTGACGAGTTATCCATGCCAAATTAGGTACCCTTGATCCCTCCTTTTTGTATTTGTTTGTAAAGGCAGTCCTTAAAGGACCGATGCATATGTGAGAAACAAAGTATAAATGCTTTCAGCCTTGTAATAGTTGCTGTAAAGTTAAAAACAAAGCCATAAGATTGGGGTTGATCCTGTGCATGATGTAAGTACCTGGAAGATTAAAAATAAGTTGGCACAAATAATGAGAGTCAGAGATTAAGTTAAAAGTCTGTTGAGAAAAGTTGTGGAAAGCTAAAATAGCAGCAGATAATTCTTAGCGTTGTGGTGATTGCACTGCAGTGTAGGTGTCAAGCCCCACGGGGCTTGCCATTCACTGGTGGGGGGGTGAAGCACGGCCCGCAGCAGCCAGACGCCGCCGCAGCCACCCAGCTGACCGTCGGCATTGCCCCAGCCTGCATGGGCCTACGGAGCGTCAGGTATGGCCCTCCCCCCTCCCCTCCATTCCCTTCGCTGCCGCTTACCGTGCTTGGGCCAGAGTGGACCTTGCCGGCGCAGCCGAGCACAGGGGGGGGTTGGGTGCCGCTGAGCCCTGCCGACAGCCGGGAGACCAGACGCTCGCCAATGGAGCTGCAGGACCGCGGGGAGAGCAGCCGTTTGCCGACCAGCAGCCGGAAACGCTGGTGCTGGCTGACGGAAGCTGCAGAGAGCCTTGGGAGGCTGCGGATGCCGAAGGAGTGGCCGAACAGCAAGGCATGCAGCTGCTGGCTTGTGGAAACCGCGAGAGGGCCCCGGCGGCCGGAGAAAGGTCGCCATGGCCCAGCCAGGACTGCAGTGGCCCGAGAACCTTCAAGGAAGGGGGCGGCATGGTGCAGAGTTTGGGCAGCTGGACGGAAGACCAGCAGGGCGTGGCTGACTCCAGGGAAGGGCGTATCCGGACTACAGGGACATTTATGAACATAGGGCGGATGGTGGCTTGTTGCTGGGGGTGGGGTGATGGGGCGTGGCATGGCTATATATAGCACTGGGAGCAAACCACTCCCAGTGCTGACTTTTTGTTGGCTAGGAATTAACCTTGCTTGCACCGCGTACCTGCGTTCCTGATCTTTTTTTCATCGGGACACCATCGGACGGGAGTGACAGTAGGACACTTTCCAGGTATCATCATGAGGATCCTTGTAAGCAATTGCTCCTCTCGTTCATCCTCTATCAGAAAAAACAGTAGGAGCTTGTGGCAAGGGAAAAGGAGAAAGCAGTGGGCAGACAGGAAAGGAAAAAGTCATTAAACAAGCAAGCCGAGGATCTTTAGGCAAATGATATGAAATACAGCCTATATAGTTAGTTAAAGAGCACTAAAGAGATAAGTTATTCTGAAAATAAAATTAAAAATCAGATTTTGGGATAGGAAGAACAATATTAATTAAATCAGTCCCATTTCAAGGACAAGCTCTATTGTGTTCTAAGGTTATTATTTCAGCAACAGCCTGGATAAAAGATAAAACATTTTTGGGATGGGATAAGTAAAGTCATTCAATACAAATTACTCTTTGCGCTTCTAACATGGCTAATACTCTTGTAATTAGCTTACTAGTAGGAAAAAATCAAAAGTGTTAAGTGACAATTTTTATGTGGAATTCTGTCCACAAATTGAGTACTCAAGATGTCATTAATTTGCTCAACCATGGCAAATGCTGCAGGTGGAACTACAATGAGATCTCCAGGTTGTTTTCCTTTGGTCAATAAGTTAAATTCCAAGTTAATCAAATACCATTCA